GAAAGAGTGACTGCAATAAGAGAGGCTTGCAAGAGCAAAGTCAAGCTAGTCCCAGAATGATGCAATGTAAAAAGGGGTAATTCATGGAATCAGCTGGTATAGTTAAGAACCTGCCTATGTGACTATTACAATTAGTCACTGTGCTTAAAACATTTGCCTTGAGGGAGAGGGAAACGTCTGTATTGCAAGCTACTGTAAGGTGAACAAACTTAAATTACTTCAGTGTAATGTCTCTGTGTAGACGTAGCCTTAAAGTACATACTCTTTAGGCTTGACCTGGTTCAGTATACATCAAGCACATAATAAAAAAACGGTGAGTGGAATTCACAGTGACACTGCTGTGGAGTCACCACATAATTAGCAATAGGAGGGATGCATCTTCCTGAAAAGCAGTATTAAACATGCCTCTTCAGAAATGCAAATTCTGTGCTTGCATCCTTTCAGCCAGTACTCAAGAAAGCATGTAGGCAGACATGCAAATGTGTTGATCGTTATTCTGTTTAGTGTGCTCCAAAGCTACTATCGGTCTTCTATGCACATACAGAGCCATATTTAAATCTTATTAAAATGGCTGTATGTCTAAAATACCTCTACCAAAGTCAGTGTAGTTACTTCACATTTAATGGCAGAACGGTTATCATTTCAGTTCATGCTATGCAAGAGCACAGAAAACATCCAAGCCTTATAAAGTCATCACTGTATAGAGAACTTTATGGAAAATTACTGGCAAATGTTAAAAAAGAAACTTTGCTTAGAAAATGTTCAGCCCACGCACTGCATAAGAAAAAACAGGTAGGTGAAGTGTTTTGATATCATTATAGTGAAATATTTGTTATACTGAATTCATTTCACATCTTTTTAATGTGTTTCTTTACAAATATTTTTACACAAAGGAAGTAAATAAATACAAAGGTAAAATGTTTTTGTTTGAAATCTATATGCTATCTGATAAATTTGTAATGTAAATGCTAAAAAAATAACTGGTCAAACAAAGCATGATTTCACACACATTTTATAAAGACAACGTAACAAGAGGTATGCAACACACCGTATTTCGTTGCACAATGCATACTGCTTGTTTAGCAAAGTCCTGAAAAGCTGCATCCCTTTGTGTTTGTTAGTGAATCCGTTTCTGGTGAGCGTGCAGGCAAACAATAAAAAGGCATTGGCAAATTGGAGGCTATTTTAACCACACATACAAAATGGCTATGTAGTTGCATAGAATGGTAACACAGAAGTAAACATGGAAGTGAAACAATTTCAAATGTCGTTCTGTTTTTATAAAATGTCAAGTTCCCTAAAGTGGAATAAAAGAGAAGCCCACATGAAAAGCAAAATGTCAACACTGTTCTGACAACAGTGAAACCAGTAAACCTGTTAATAAGACCAAGCTAGCAAAAATCCATAGTAAATGATGACTGAACTTTCAGAAAGTTCAGCTTCATGCAGTTACCATGATCATTCAGTAAGGTAACAGTACTTGAAGGTGTAAGTATGGATGGGGTACGAAAATATAATAAAAACAATAAAAAGCTGATGCCATCAATGCATTTGTAGAGTCTTCCATCAATCTCTGCATTTCAAAATGCTGTAAGCAGCATTATCAAGGGGGATACTGAGACCTACATACTGTGGAGCTGATGGTGGGGGAAAAAAAGAAATTCTGTCTTTTCAAAATAGTATATGAGTAAGTCCTGATGGTTAATGAGTTAAGCATAAACTTTTCACCAGTATTCTGTGAACAAGTAACATGCCTTTAACTCATTTTCTTTCTTGTCTGTTCAATGGTACGCATCCCCTGCAAAGAGAGGTGCTGAACATTTGGGAAAACGCAATTCCTAAAAGGTAACAGAGAAGAATGAGGCAAATAACATCATACTATTATGAAGAAAACTATCAAAACCTAGTACTTAGAATGCCACTGTTGAGACAAGTGTGCTTGGAAACTGTACCTATAGCTGTGGATTTCCAGTCTTAGTTGTTGAGGGATAAAACACACTTTCAGTGTAGAGACTTTTTTCCCTTTGACATTTCTTTTTGAAATTTACTCAAAAAAATGTATGGAATTTCTGTTCTCATCTGGAAATTTTATTTTTTGTTTAGACTGACTCCTAGAAACTGTTCTTTGTTCCTCATGTGTCATCATAATGAAACTGCAAAATGGAAGATGAATTTGTCACAGTAGATTTGCTTCAAACATAGATTGGCTACATTTTGATCTCACCCGATCAGAACACCTTTCCTGTTTTGTTTTGTTTTGTTTTGTTTTCCCTTGCAGGCATTTAAAAAAAGCCAGATTGTTACTCTACATGGACTTCTATTGTAATCTCTATTTATGCAAAACACTAATGCAGATCTTGGATTCATATTATTAAAATCTCCATATAGATCATATACTTAAAATCTCCCTAAACATTTTGAAACAATGATCACTGTTTTTCAACAGTTTAAGGCTGTCAGCATGCTTTGGGGTGCAGACAGATACGATCCTGAAAGCAAGATTATGTCACTAAAGTTCAAGGACAGGTCAAGAATATGTCTACACATGGCTTTCCGGGTCAGGTTTCTCCAAACACAACCGTATTTTGCCACTCAGACCTACTTTAGTGGATGAAAACTGCTATGTTTTGCCTTTCTGAAAGAGGAGCTAAGAAGCATGCATGAAATCAGAAGTGAAAGAGGGGACTGCGTAATTTTTCCTTGCTTCCAACAATTTTGTTTTGATCTGAAAAACACAATGGCCACAAAGAAACCAGCTGCGTAAGTAAGGATAAAAACTAAGGCTGGTTAAAAATGTGTTCAGTTTAAGAAGTCTTCTGATAAAAAAGAAGAAAAAACATTTTCTAAATTATTTCATGATAATATTGTCCTTCTTTCAAGAGCTTTTATAAAAAGCTTGTCAGTAAATGAGCTTATGCGGGAGGTTGAAATGGAACTAAGAAAGATCTATACTGTTGGCATCTGTGGACTGTGCCTATTTTTTATCTGCCCTTGAGATCTCCCTTTCACCTGACCCAGCAAGCATTTATTTAAGAACAGAACGTATATCTATTAAGTTTAAATTGAAACAAATATATGCAAAATTCTTCTTTAGAAATGAATTTTAAAATCCATAATTTGTTCAATTAATCATGCTGCTTTCTTGACTGTCGATAAAACAGGGGCCACAAGCCACTTTAACATTCAGTTTCTGTGGATGCATTTTCTTGCCTAGCTTTCAGTTCTTCTGTTGCACTGCCAAATGCTACCACCAAATTAGTTACACTGCTGGCATGTCCTGGTCTATTTAATTTGTCCTTTACAGACTTGGCTTTCCGAGAATGGCTGTGCAAACTCTTTGACCGTACTGATGGGAACCCAGAAGTCCTTTCTGGCTTTACTGATAGTAAATTCTCTTTCTCAGTCTTGACAGTGGCAGGCATAGAGGTGTAAGAGGCACTCATACCTGCTTCACCAACATCGCTGTCATCATCTGTGTCCATCTGTAACTGTTTCTGCTCTGCTTGCCTTTCTGCTTCAGAGATAAAACCGGGGTATTCTGGAGGACGTTCTTGAGAAAGCTGCTGCTCAACTTCATATTTCCACTCGGTGGCCCATTGTTCAATTGTAGAAGGGCACACCTGATCCATGATGGTACTATACTCTGTGGTCCAGTTGTTAACCCCTCCAACCAGCTTCCCACCCTGTGCAAATATAAAGCTCCTTGACTTCATCATAGTGGTTTGACAAGCACTGAATGTTTCAGGAGGAAAATAGCGCATTGCTTTAGATTTGTCCAAGGGATAAGAGATGGTTGCTTCTAACTTGGTACGTTCTACTTTTAACTGAGTGTTCTGAAAATCTGATCTTGGTACTGACTGTCTGTTCGTAACAGCATCCATCTGGTTTATACTTCGAGGAACCATACCATCACTCTTGCAAATCCCCTGCTTTTCATCCCCCAAACCACGTGAACCAGAATGGGGTCTGGAAACATTCTGAGCAATTTCTAATGTAGATTTACTGTAATCTGCTGTGGTGACTGCATTAGCACTAGAGGTATAATGGAGACTGGTGTGGTGTTCTGGAACCAGCATCCTTGGGTCTGCTTCATCTTCTTTGGTACTGATAGAATGGGCTTTTTTACGCAATCCCGTGGCTGGTGACATAGGAGTGGTACTGTCATCATATGTTAACTCATCGCCACCGACATGGTATCTGTACATGCTGTAGCCATCAGAGCTGTTAACACTGCTTTGCCTTAGGAGATACGCAGCATCACACTCAGATGAAGCCCGTGAACGTGTATACGTCAGCTCAGATTTGTCAATACCTGCCAGCTTCTCAAGAGCATTCACCATCCGACCAGATAGTTCTTCCAACTGAGAGAGTCGAAGGTCAACTGTTTGAAGAGAAGCTTTCATAAAATGTTCTCTTTCATTCACTTCTTCTAGCCTCATAGACATATTTTCAACTCTGTTGGGTATAAAAGAGGAAGCATAGAACAGAAGCTGTGGAATGGTGCAGTAACACGTTATAGGCACCCAGCTACTGATTTCTTCAAAAGGCAGAATTTTGTGCTTTGTATTATGCATCATTCTTTTTTTCCTATGTGTAGTGTCAACAGCATGCACGTTTTCTTGTTATCTATGCTTTCTATACGCCATATTAGAGGGCTATTTGAACTTTGCCCTTATTTACATGCCAGACGAGTACAAGAGTTGCAGCCCTTAGGGACAGCCAACTATTAACATTTCTGAGTGTGTCACCCAATTCACCTTCAGTTGTCCTCTTTCACTGGGAAGCATCAATTAAGTATATGAAGAATACTTTCTAATGACATGCTTAAAATAGCATCAACGCATGCTGCAAAACAGGTTTTGTAGCTCTATGAGAGAGAACGTATGCTGGCGTGTATGGGATTACTTTCGCTCTTGAAATACCTTTCAATTATGTACCAGCTGAAGGGAATGGAATTATTGTCTAGTTCAATTAAAGTAACACTTTTTCCCATTTTCTTTTATCATTTATATCATAATGAAAGTGATGGTACCGTAAGAATGCATATAAAAGTAATGCATTAGAATGTGACTTAGAGATCATACACTAGTAAATCAACTGTGGAAATTAAATTAACATTCTTTTGCTCTCACACACAAAAGATGACGAAGCATCTGGAGCAAGAAGCCATAAGAAATAAGCAAATCTGCTTTGTGGCCATAGACCATAGTGAATCAGTGAGGCTTACCAGCCCTGCTTTATTCTCTGCCACAATACCTAGGATTTTGACAAATTGCCATGGATAAATAGTGCAATAGAGACTACTCAAATACATGTAGCAGATTTCATTTACTTTTCTATTCTCAAACTTCACATATAATAATGCAAGATGTTCGAGGCCTCCCTTCAAGAGAAAGATATTTATCCATTAAAGAATTATATGGCTCACAGAGCTACCTCATAACAAATGTTAAAAGGAAGATAGATAGATAGACAGATACAGAGTAGTTCATCATCAAAATACTGTGAGGCAGATTAAGGTGAAAGAGTGTTTAAACTGTGGATTATTTTCACTACAGGAAGAATTTTTCATCATTTCAAAAGGAAGTGACAAAAGATCCCATCCTTTGACTTACTTAGAACTACTAACAGAATAGACAAAGCCTTTGGGAACAGTCCTGCCAAGTGACCTGGTAAAAAAGTGCTGCTGCCATTATCATTGTGTGCTTACACAGCAATATGCAAACATTACCTAGTCCTCAGAATAGCTTAATGATTTACATGTGAATATTCCCTGTCTTTTAAATGGGGAAGTTCATACTGAAAAGCTAAATACCTTGTTCAAAGCTTCCAAGAGAATCTGTGGCAGAGATTAAAATTCAGCAGTTGTGAGTGCTGGACCCTAGTGTAAACCATAGGTCCAAGGGAAGAATCCTCAGTGCTTTTGCCATTAAGCTCCAACATGTTTCTTATGGTTGGATGAGCTGTTGGAAGCTCAACAAGTAGTAATTTGTTCAAACTGATAAAAAGCATAACTGTGATCTTCAGATGCATGACAGGGAAAAAAAAATCACCATGAACAAAAATGTTCTTATACCAAAGCTACCCAAAACAGCAGCTTTAGTGATGTACCAGTAGGAACAATAAAAAGCTTGCTCTTGTGAGAGATGCACCTGCACAGATATTTACTCAGGATTCAGATCAGTTTCTGAACTGGTGGTGGTTTTCTTCAAGATCTAAATCTTTTGTACTTTAACTCAACTTTGGTTATAATGAGACACAAAAAAGCAAATATTGTTCCAGATAAGTGGCATGGTTTTTTTCTTATAATAGGTACCTTTCAGAGGTAACTCTGATGCGTTCATCATTAGATGATTGCTGCTCATCCTCTTTTTCCTGGAAGTATTCTTCTACACACTGCTCTTCAAACTCATACAGGTTTTTTAGCTCTTCATCATTCAGAAATAACTCTGTGCAAAACAGAAAAACAAAATATGAGTTTCCTTTTTCTAAACTTCTGGCAGTCAATTTAAATCCAGTTTAGCGGATTTTTTTGGACATATGGATACTGCAGATTCTACTCCTGCACTAAATGAACAAGATGATTTTGCAAATAGGGAATGAGCACTTAGCCAAAGACGGCCACAGCCCTGAAGGCAATGTAATGCATTATGACTATCATCTGCTTTTATGCCCACCCACTGGGGGCTATATTTTCTCAATGACCTTTGCACTTTTTAACAGCAGTGCTACGCATTGAACAAACTGACTAGATTTTACAGGATAATGACTAGGGCAATCTCTGCCCGTCTGACTGTTCCTTCATTCAAATATTGTTCTTAAAAGGATGCCAGTTATAGGCAACAGACAATCTAATGTAACAGATTATTTCCTAGACATTCTTTGGATAAGAGCTTCAAAAATTTATAATTATGTAAGGAAAATCCAAGGCAAATATAAGCTTTCGGGAACATTTCATCCTTTATTTGAATTTGTCTCTTTGTATTTGGAGGGAGTGTTACATTTACTTTTTTCCCTTTTTTTTCTTTTTTAACTCAGAAGCATATAGTGCAGAAATAGAAGTACTGACAAAGCATGTTTCTTGTGAAATGTAGAAACACAGGGATAATTGTGAGCATCTGATTATTTCAGTGAGGCATATAATGAAAATAATAATCAACAATTACAGAGTATGTTGGGAGAAGAATCCTCACAATTCCCCTGTGAAATGACAGATAAATCACTAACATGGAGAAATGAAAGTGGGAATACTCTTAGACACAGATTGCTCACAATCATAGAGCTGACACTACAGATGACATTTAAAACTGTGATCCCTTCTTCTCAATTTCCTATTCGCCCTTCCAAACATATGGACTTCACTAGAACTTGGTAAAACTGGATTAAGTAGATGCCATGTCACTGTTTTAAGAAAGCATGTTAAAGTCTTCATTAGCAGCACAACATTGCATATTCTCAGGAGTCCGCAATGCTCAAAAGCTGTTAACTTGATATAAATTTTGTCCCATACTGTCTTCTGCAGATACACTTGACCATGAACAAAATAGTTCAGTATTGGAAAAGCTGTTGCTTTCTGCTAATATGGTGCAAAGAGCTCAATTTAGAGAAGATTTCTTGCATACTCAGTCCCCTGTCACGTTCATCCTGGTCTCCTTCACCCTTCTTGCAGCAACAGCAGATTCGCTTGATGATTATGTAGATGTGGCTGAAGATAATCATTGGCGGTGGGAGGACAGGTCTGTCATGGAACGTCATGATCAGCTGGTACCGCTGGAACTTCCAGACTTGGTTGGATATTGATTTTACCTCAAAGAAGGTATTGCTGAAAGGGAACATAGGTACAGTTTCTATTAGACCCCTACGTTTACTTATCATTGAGCAAGTACTATGTTGAAAAAAGCAGCAGCTAAATAACAACATGAGGCCACATGACTTGCTTCGTTCAGCTCTTTGTTGATGCTGCTGAACTTGCTGAACTGATTAACTTGAACTCATGATTTCACCACTCCTTTTGAGGGTAGCAAAGCAGACGGTGCTCTGCATCCCTTATGCACCACCCAGAACAGTCCTCCTCTTAGACTATTTGTTCCTACTGTATAAAGTCCTTTAGGTGTTAGTGAAAAGAAACTTGCGCAATTTATGAAACACATTGTTGGTATTTTGGGGCTTGGTTATAAAGTATTTCTTTTAACGCATGCCAGTATTTGATATTACACAAAGTATTAAATCCATGAAAGGTATTTTGTATGCTAAACCCAGAAGTGTCACATGGTTTGCCTTTAATATGCTAATCAGCTTGACCTACATAGAAGACTTTCCAAGTTTTCACAAAATGTCCTAAATTCAAACTGTATTCACTCAAACTTCTGACTTGAAAACATGGTGCATATTCTTGTAAAGGAATTTGTTCTTGGAAGCCATGGCCTCATCGTTTCTAAACCAAAATGAGGTGTGTTATAAAGATGTTTTATTTTGTAATTCAGTAGATATGAAAGAGTATAAGTGATAGTGCTCAATCCAGAGATAACAGTAGTCAAGGTTATGAAATACCAACTATGAGAAAGCAGACTTGATGTTCTGTCTTAGATAAAGCTTTTCAAGCTATTTTGAAGTATGCTCAGACAGCTCACTCCACTTCAATGATGATGATATACTGGCACTTCGTTTTTTATATTTTCTGTCCACTTCTTTTCTAACTTTCTGTGTTTTGAATATCTACATTCACAAAACCAGTTAAAACATCTCTTTGAAACCAGAGAATTCTTGAGTACATATAGCTTTTGGTTTCTTTTGACTAAGTATACATGAAATTATTTTCCAATGATAAATGACAATCTGCCTGCATTCTGCGTCTCCTGCATAGCAGAAACTCCCCAGCTAGATCTCACCCCCTTGCAACCATGCTGGGATGGCAGGAGTTAGCAGCATGACCTAATTCCCAAACTGCTGATTCCGTGGTCCTTCAGCCAATAATAGCTACCATTGTATCTTCCCCTTTTCCCTAGCGATGTGACTGGCATTTGAGCACTTTAAAATTCATGACCTTTTAAGCTACATACATCAAATGAAAGACAGACTTTGTGAGCTGTAGATTTCTGGGCACACGATGAACTAGTTTTGTGGTTGTGACACCAGCTACCTATGCCAACAAGCCCTCCCACACTACATGTTTATGGGCATCAAAAATGGATCACCTGCTTTTCTCAAGTGGTGTGTTCGGAAAGTCTTAATAGCAAGTAGATATTTCTTTTTTTTTTTTTTTTTTAACCCCGGGGTCATGCAA